TGCATAAAACATAGTATACAAACAATACTAACAAATCAGAATTTTTCTATATTATATATTAAGTTAAATCTGTTAAATGATCCAGTTAGAGAGCTTATAACTCTAATGTAGCAAATTTTTGATGAATTTTTGCGTAATTCGCTAATGAGCAACTCGAAACGCGACGATAACTTAATTGGAAATCTGGATAAGTAAAAATATGACAAGTAAATATATATATATATATATATATATAAATGTGTGTATATATATTTATTGTAAAGAAAGTATGACAAGGTTTGAAATATTATTAATTAAATGAAATAGAAAATAAACATAGAAAATAAAATAGAAATTAAACATCTTGAAAGTATATAAATGACCTGAATTAGTAAGTATACACTATTTTTTTGTTGAACCATAGGCGTGCCTATTTTTCGCTAACTTCAGCCAACTTTGAATCGCGACTTTTATTGCTACGTCCGATGATTCTTTTCCACGGAATTGGACTTTGGCCGCTTCTGTAAAAAAAAGTTGTTTAAATTGTTGAAAACAATAACGAGTTTAAAATATTGATCTCATAAAATTGATTAAAATAAAAAATAATTATAATCGAAAAGGTTGTCATTTAAATGTATAGAGACGTCTCGACCTTATTTACTAGCTGATGCTATTTACTTATTTTTTGCGAGGAACTCGCGTAACGTACTCTAATTTACGATGTTTACATTCACCTTGTACATGTATATTGTTCTCGAAATTTCCGTACAAATAGTAAATAATATATATAAGAAAATAATATATATAAAAAAATTTATAGCGAAATATACAGAAACCTACGAGTATATAAAATACATATATAATGCATATATAAAAATTTCTTACAGAAAACCAAAATTTCTAAGATAAGAAAAATTTTATTTGATTTTTAATTTCCGAGATGAACTATTACTAATACGAATCAATCACAAGAACCCTTTAAAATACAGTCGTTTTCATGAATGTTTTTTTCTAAAACTGAGCCCCTGACAAATATAACATTTTTAAATAAGAGAATTTTGAATTTTTGGGAGAAATACAGCATATTTTTATAGGGTAAATCCTGGACACGCTATGAATTTCCATAAAATATGAGTTTATAAAAATGTAGTTTGATGCACGTTTATAATAAATGAAAAATTGGCATTGACGATCTTTACATATTTTTGAATTGATCTGAAATTCGATACTTTTTACAGTTTTGTAACGGGAGCATCCCGTTTGACCACGTCCCGATTGACCACAGCCACTCACAGCGGCCGGTGCCTAGAGATTTTCCACTGTTCAAGCGCTGTGAGTGGCTGGTGGTCAATCGGGACGTGGTCAATCGGGTATCACCCTTTTGTAACACAAAAGTATTTTGAGAAAAAGACATCATATAATATAGCTTGTGACGGGACGTCCCTTTTTGGACCGTCCGTCACAAGGGATCTGCGGACCCGACTGCGGGCGGTAGCTTCGAGTCCTGTGTCCTTCCGATTTTCGGAGGCGGACGCGTGGCGCGGGCCGCGGGACTGCGTTTGCGTGGCTCCCGCGCCCGAATACCGATTATCGTTCGTAATTACTTTTTAGTCCGTAGCGACCTCGATTATTTAACTTAGCGTATCGGCGGCTCCCGGAAACCTTGTAATATTTCA